CTACCTTGAGCCGAAATCTTATATCCTTTTGAGGCCAGAATGCCAAGAGAGATGATATTCTTCTTCAAATTAGGAACATGATGAACATTAGATAAAGTCCTTATCACACCATCTTGCGCCTTGATCCGTACGTAGCCAACACCACAAACTTTGCAATGATAATCGTTACCCATTGTAATAGTTTTATTCTTCAGCGGCTGATAGTCGGTAAAGTGAGACTTTTGAGAACAAATATGGTTGGTAGAACCCGCATCAAGTATCCAGTCATAATTTTAATTTCTTCAGAACTTTATCTATGGGCTCTATTTCTCTAAAATCGACATCTGTCGTCTCTTTTGGCTTTTCATCTTGCCTTTTCTTTTCGAGCTTTTTATTTGCAAACCAGAATTCTTTGACTGTGTGCCCAAGTTTCTTACAAAACTTGCAAGATTTTTTGAATTTGTATTCATTAAATTTGGACTTCTTATTGGTACTTTTACTTCCGTGTGAATTCCCTTTTATATTTAAACCTTCAGCACTTTAATTAGAATGAGCTAAAGTGAGATTTAACATCCAGAGTATCACTATTTCCACAAAGCATAATTTCCTTGAAGTGTTTATATGAAGGTGGTAGGGAGACAATTAATAACACGGCCTTATCCTCATCTTCGATTTTAATATCTAAATTTTCAAGATTTCATCGAGATGAGTTTGTATGGAAGTACCTTCGGCCATCCGGATTATATAAAGCCTTTCCTTGAGACCGATTTTGTTGGCGAGGCTTTTAGTCATGTAGAAGGACTCCATCTTCAACCATAATCTGGTTGCTGTCTCCTTGTGAATGACCTCGCGTAGTACCTCCTTGGTTAAACATAGTTGGATTGCCTAGAGGGATTTTTTTGTCCAACTCTTGCCATTACTCGTCTGTCATTGACTCTGGTTTTTTAGCTTTTCCATCCATAGCCTTCTTTAATCCGCTCTATACTAGAATGACTTACATCTGGACTTTCCAAATGCGGACATTAATATTGCCGTCAAATTTCTCAATCTCGAACTTTATGATCGAAGTCATCTTTAATGTGTAAACACTCTATACAACCTTTAGCTCTGATACCACTTGTTAGAGTTGGTGAGTGCACAGCAGAAGTGAAGATGTGTATGATTCAGAAGTATAAATTGAATTGATGATTGACACGATAATTAATATAAATGAACAAACGATTTTATGTAACGACGAGCTCTTTTATTCCACTATTTGAAAATAAGAGAGTTAAGTATCCCTTTAAGGGTTTATATTACAATATGACTCTCTCTATATTACTCTCTAAGGAGTATTAAAAAATAGCAATAGTGGATTCGTAAAGAAGGTAAATTGTACAAGGAGGTGTAGTATATATGTAGGAAGGCTTATATATGTATGGTATGATTTCTTCTATGGTCTTGTATTCAATGATTGAATGCCCATGGCCTATATTTATAAGTGTGGATGGAGCTTGGATGAAATGACCAAGATATTCTAGAAGTTCCTCCATCATTCTTGTATCCATAATGTTTTAGAAAATTCACGAACCATGTATTATATTCTAGCTAATAGCTTCCAATGTCAATAATTCTCTAGAACTTTCAAGTAGGATATTATTCTAGAAAAATCAAGAGTTATTGAGCAAGTAATGACCTTGCTTGATAATTCTGAAAACTTCTAGATTATGCACAATACTCCACCAAAATAATGGGCTTATAAAATTTGGGTCATACCCAACAAATTGAATCCTCTAAAAAAACCAAAGGTAGTTGATGTTTTCTTGATCATACTTACGAAAAAGAGTTAGGTCGTATTCACTTCATATTTTTTCTGAATTGATCAAATTATTTTTACTAAAATACAATTAACACGGCCTTAGTAGGTTGTAAGTGTTAGTAAACATTTTAGTTGAATGTAAATCAAATTCAAACCCATTGCAAAGCTGCAAGCTAAGTCATACTAGGAAGTTAAAACTTTTAAATGTATTGCTGAAATAATAATCCTGTAATCAAGAGCAACTTCTATTATTATTGATGCACCAGCCCATTCTTTCCTATGAGTATCCCTAAGACCACAATCCGTATATTAGTCAAAGATTTACCTAAATGAGCAGCAAATTAATCAAGTAGGGTAAACCACTTTTGATGTGAGGAGAGAAGGTTTGTTGAGATGATGTGAGATGTTTTAGGAAAGTTTCTATTGTTCCGGACTTCTAGGTACGATTAGTTAACTTGTATCTTGGTCGATAATGATTTTTTGCCTAACTGAATACCTGCACATTCAACATAGATTAGCTAAATTTGTGTTTATCCGAAGATAACTGCTCCAACGGTAAAATTAGTAAAATGGAATGATATTGGAGACAAAGAAAATTTGAAGGTGTTTAAGTAAAAACGATTGCCCCTTAGAGGTGGTTGGGCTAAGGGTTAATAAAAAACCTCAAGCATGTGCCATGTTGTTGTAGTATATCAACTTTTACTCCTTCTATTTTTTTTAAATATAATAAAGTTGAGATTATGCAAAATTTAAGATGTTAGTGGGGTAGATCAGGTAAAGTTGTAAGAAAAGATATTAGGCAATTATATTATTGAAAAGTAAATTAGTGTGTAAGAGAGTGGAGACCATTAGAGGAGTGAAAAATATGGTTGTACACCGGTCCAAAAGCGGACCGGACCTGTTGGGACCGGGACCTGAATCAGTGGATTTTGAGGACCGGAGACCAGACCTGATTCAACAGGTCCGGTTCTAGGCCTGACCTGATCGATCAGGTCTAGTCTAGGTTTGGACCTGAATAGACCCGCTTTGTATATTTAAAAATAAATAAATAAATAACCTGGTGCAATTACATAAGCATGAATTCGAAAGAAATGAACAAAAAAAATCTAAAACAGTTAACTAAATTTTAAAAACCCAAAAAAGCATGAATTTTAAAGAGATGTACTAAAAAACAGAAATTCAACATGCAAACATCAAACAACCATTATAAGCAATTGAAACATGAATTAACATATAAATTATCACCCTTAATTCATTATTTCGAATACGAAAATACCCAAACATAATTCGATTTACCTTTTCATAAGGAAAATCGAGCAAGGTTGTTGCTCGCGTCGGTGGTTGATGCACCGTGCAGGGCAGGAGGGTTCTCGCGCTAGTGGTCGGTGGACACCTGGCCGGTGACTGGTGGTCGTCTGAGGGGGTGAGTGAGTGCGTGCAGCGTGACTGCGCGAGGGGTGGGCCGGTGGCGGCTAAAAGAGTGAGGGAGTTAGGGTTTAGAAATGAAAACTGATTTCTTGTTTTGCTTTTTGATGTTTTGTATTTTTTTTGTTTAAATACATGTTTTTACCGGGTTTCAGGATCGGACTTGAAAAACCCCGGTTTTAGACCTGATCCGGACCGGGACATGAATCCTTGAATTTCGAGGATCAGGATCGGACCTAAATCAACTGGTTGGGTCAGGTCTGGTCCCAATAGGTCCGGTTCCAGTCGGTTTTCAGGTCTAGTCCTGTTTAAGTACACCCCTAGTGAAAAATAATAAAGTAACAGTAAGTGGGGACCATTAGTGAGTACAATTATTTTATTATATTGTAAGAGATTTCAAAAGAGGAAGTGTAACTTTTCAAAAATGGACGAAAATAACAAGTGTAGTTTTATTAAAAAACGGAGGGAGTATATTTCTAACAATACTCCCTTTATTATTATTTATCTCTGTTTTTATTAAGTGTATCATTTCTCTTGGCACATATGCAAAATATAGACAATTCAATATTATCTTTTATTTTCAATAATTAAAAGAGAAGTTCTCTTGAGTAAGACCTAACTTACTCCTTATTTATTTGGTAAAATGGAAAGAAATATTAATTTGATATCATTGTATTATTGATTACCACATATTATAACTATTTTAATTAAAATGTTTAATCACGATTAGATTTTTAATCATTTAATAATTAAATTATTACAAAAATAATTATTTTTCTTAAAAAAAAAGCCAAACCCCTTCCTCATCCATCTAGGGCCACCCCCTCAGCTCCCTAGTCCACCCTTTTCTTGGACGGGTGCACGCGCCAACCTCCCCTACCCCCATCAGCGACCCCATTTCCCCCCACCCCTCCCTTAATTTGCCCCACCACTATCCCCACCCCGAATTGACCCCCTCCCCTATTCAATTTTTGGCCTCCTAAACCCTAAGACCCACCTACAAAAGGTTTAGGGTTTGGGGGCAAGAAACAGGAATTGGGGGTCAGTTTGAGGAGGGGGGCTATTTTTGGGGTAAGGAGTTGCGATCGGGGTGGGGCAAATAGAAAAGGGGTGGCACATTAAATGGAGGTAATGAGAATGGGCCATACAGAACGTCGAATGTGGAGGGGAAAAAAGAGAAAAGGAGGGGCGTGGGTCGCCAAGGGGGGGGGGGTAAGGGAGGCTAGTGCCGCCGACGGGGGGTGGCCTGGTAAAGGCTTTGGGCTAGTGGGTTAGAGAGGGGAAGGTTAGGTTTTTAAAAAAAAATATTTTTGTAGTAATTTAACTATTTAAAAATTAATTTAAAATCTCTAATTAAAGTTAAAAATTCAATAAAAAAAAATATAATTAATGTTTTAATTAACTTAATATGATAATACAATGTTATAAATAATGATAATAAGAATTTTTACATTTTACCAAATAGAAAAAGAAAAATTTGGGTGTTATTAAATGAAAATTTTCCTAATAACAAAATTATAGTTGGATATTTATACTATACATTAAAAGGTCACTAGTGGAAAAAACTTCATTTGTAACGGCTTATTTGTAACGGGCATAATAAAATTCGTTACGAAAAGACTATTCGTAACGGGCAATATGTATGACTAATACAAATAACAACTATTTGTAAAGGGAAAAATAATGCCCGTTACGAATATACATTTAATTGTAACGGACAAATAAAGTCTGTTACGAATAATCATTTAATCGTATCCGGCAATATATTGCCCGATACAAATAGACTTGTGATGGGGCGGAACTCACTTAAAGGAGTAAGCCCATTATATTAGAGTATTAGGGTTTCAACACATAGTCGCCAAACTTTCACTTCTCTCTGTCTCGCTCTCTCTCTCCTCACTCAATCTCCTCCCTCCGTTTTTGTTCAGTTTTGCTTGATAATGTTAAAGATTTGAAACAACGACGAGAAGAATCTTATCTTATACTCTGAGGTATGATTTTTTTAAAATTATCCTTTTGAACTATAATGTTTTTAGCTCACATTTGGGATTTTGTGAAGTTTTTTTGATAAATTTTGTTGGATTTTGAAGATCTGAGTTGATTTGATGAATTATGAGGACTGGATTAGTGTTAATGGGGATAATGATGATGGTAAAAATGATTGTTCAATTGATGGTGTTCGATGTTTTCAAGCTAAATTGGAGAACTCCGCTTTTTCTTCGCCCTCTCACTACCCGGCTTCCCCCATTCCCTGTAACCTCTTCAAGAGAAAGTGTACAAACCATCCATCAAAGAAATTGGGTAATTATTCTCACTTTCTCTCTCCCCATTCTCTACCTTTTCTCGATTTTTTTTCATTTTATATTTCTGGGTGTTGTTAGTATCTTGCAAATTTTCAAGGTTGAAATTTTGCAATTTCTACCAAAAAAAAAGCCATTTCTAACAATTTGATTTGCGTATGTTAAAATTCTAGGGTTAATTTGATGAATTCAATTGCTGATTGAGTTTGATTTTGATTATGATTGTAATTGTTCATCCCCTTTAACTTTCTCCCACTTTTTCTCTCACTTCTAGATCCGCCATTAATACGATTTCAAGCTTTTCTTTATCTTTTTATGGTTTAAGCTCTTAATTCATTACTTTTCCGGTGAGTATTCCAGTTTTTTGTAATCTGGGTATTTTTAATTCGTGTTTAATTTTTCTGGGTTTTGTTTGGTTATTCGTTTTCTGTTGATAATCTATTGCATTGTGTTTTTTTTTTGATGTTTTTGGTCAGTTTTTTTTATGTAACTGTAATATTGCTTCGAATTTATGTTTGTTTTTTTGTTTTTGTCTGTTATTGGTGTGAATTTGTTTACTTTCATGTTATTGAAGTATCGTATCATTGAATGAAGCAGTAATCAATTTGAGTTATACTCATGTGTGTTTCGGGCAGGATAGGGTAGTGATTTGTTAATGAATCTATATTAAGTTAGAGTGAATACTCTGCATAGTTTTAATTTTATGCTAATTTGTAAGAAATATCTAATCTTGCTGCTTTACTCTCTTACATGCATGATATCAAATATTTTAAAATATTGAGTGTTGATCTTTCAGGAACTGGTGAAGACTGGACCCCCAATCATGAAAGCTTTGTCGGGATCTACATAATGCTTGTCTGTTGATCACCATGGAAGCTCCATATTATAATCACCTGAGATGGTGGCAAAGTCCAACTGAAGGGCAAAGTTTATCAATTGAAGTAGTTGCTGCATTGTTAATTTGTTGAGCTAGTTGATGAATAAAATTAGCACAAGAAAAGTCGCTCTTATTTGATACTCTATTTTTTAAAAGTTTTAGTTATTAGGTGATAATGACTGTCGGCTTAATGCTGATTGTATATGATTTGTATAAAATATAAATTTCACTATTTTTTTAATGTAAATTTAACTAATTAATAATTGATAAAATGATTGTGCAGGCAAGAGGTCCAACATGTGCTGGATTTTTTTTTTTAAATTTGGGGCACCCACTATTTGTAACGGGCAGATATCATGCCCGTTACGAATAACAGACTTATTTGTAATGGGCATTTTGGTGCCAGTTATGAATAACAGGGTTATTTGTAACGGGCATTTGGGTTCCCGTTACGAATAACGGGGTTATTTAGGCACTTGTGTTGCCCGTTACGAATAACTACTTATTTGTAACGGGCAAGTACCCGTTACAAATAACTTGTCTATCCGTAACGGCCGTATACGTAACGGCCGCTTCCCGTTACGGATAGACTATTTTTGCCCGTTAGGGATAGCAATTTTTCCACTAGTGGGTGTTCTGAATCAAGGACACAAGCCACGTGTCTCTGTTTCTTACACCAAGAGAATGTCACATCACCCAATAAGAAATATGAATGTTATTCGTCAATTTAAAAAATGTTTTTGTTAAAAATTGAACTTAGGTCCTTTGAAAAATGAATGGAAATCATACCTATTTTGCTATCTTATAGTTTAGTTAACTTATTATTTTTATTTAAGCATTAACTTATTCTTCTTTAATGTACTTAATGTAGACTATGAGAGTGTTTTTCTTTGTATTTTTACATGCCAAATTATTTTCTTAGACTAAATCTAACATAAATGTATTTAACATTATTATGTACATAAAAAATAAAGGAAATTTTCACATTTGCTACCAGCGAAAGCACCCTGATTTGGGGTTTTTTGTACGTACCCGAATGGAGGGCGTGTACGTCCCTCGGGAGACAGATCCGCAATGCAACACTCGAACGGCCCGGACACCTGCAAAACAACGGACCCCGGGGGGGCCGGAGGTCCGCCTCCGACGATCAAGTCAGTGATCGAAATAATGTATTTTAGAGAGAGAAAGTAGAGAGAAGGGAGAGTAATTGTGGGGGGGCATTGCCCTTGGAGAGAGAATTGGATCCCTTGAAACTGATGTAAAGATCAGTATTTATAGAGCATTGGGATATGTGCCTCTTAGGTTATTTAACCTAAGTAGATTGGCTTCCCATCATTTTACGGTTTCTAGGGTTGTGTGCTTAGAGCCCATTTTCACCCTTCTATCATTGAGTGACACGTGTCATGCTCTAATTGGCTCATTGAGCGCTGAGCTTGCGGACAGGTGTCGAGGTGGCATTGGTCCACATAAAGGGGGTATTTTTACCCCAAACATTAGCCCCTCGAAAGGGTTAATTTCTCTTTTAAGAGGAGTTACTCCTTTCGAAATCCAGGCTTTATTTTCCGCTTCTTCAAAAGCTCTATGGGCGGCATATGTCTAGTTCAATAAAAGAGAGATTTGATTAATTTGGAAAATTTGATGCCTTAAAGGGTATGGTATTTTCTAAGTTAATCAATAATAATGATTGCCGCCTGAACTAGACAGATGACGACTTTTATTTCTTTTAGCCCCACTATGGTGGTCATATGACCTTTGGGTGACTTAGAATATTTTTGAGACGTTTGACATCCCATAAGGCAGGAGGCGAACGACCGCCTGGGGCAGGAGGCAAATGGCTGCCTGGGGGCAGGAGGCAAATGGCCGCCTGACTCTTCATAGGGCAGGAGGCAAATGCAGCCTGACTTTTTATAGGGCAGGAGGCAAATGGCCGCCTGACTCTTCATAGGGCAGGAGGCAAATGCCGCCTGACTTTTTATAGGGCAGGAGGCAAATGGCCGCCTGGGGTGTTTGTAATCCAATTATACTTTCAATGTCCTTTTACCCATTGGGAGGACTTGTATAATTTCAGAAGGTAATCTAGGTTAGAACTTTGGTCGGTCACCGGCTGACTTCTTTTGGACATCCGGGTCTCGAAGACTTGGTCGTTCTTTAGATTACCCAGGTCAGGCGGCTATGAGTTAACCAATGAGGTCTTTCAATTTTTGCCGCCTGCATGCGTACGTAAAGCAAACGATAGAGTGCTTTCTGCGACGATTGCACCCGGAGGGGTGTCGCCGGACGCCATATTTCACATTGGAGCAGGCGCATTTACAAAAATGTATAACCATCCGGCCATTGGCCTCGTGTCTTTTTCAAGACGGTTATATAGACATTGTACAACTCTTTTTGCCCCAATCGGGAGAGTCCGTGCAATTTGGAATGAAAAGCCTAAGTAAGAACTTCGGTCGGTCACCGACTGATGTCTGAGGACATCCGATGTTCCGAAAACTTGGTCATTCTTTTAGACTGTTCTGGTCAGACGGCTATGGATGGGCCGATTCAGCCTTCCAATTGTGGCTGCCTGCATTGGTACGTAGAGTAAGCAGATTGGCTTCTCTCTGCGACGATTGCACCCGAAGGGGTGTCGCCGGACGCCATATTTCACATTGGAGCAGGCGAATTTGTGAAAAAAGCAGCCATCCGGCCATTGGCCTTTGGTCTAGATTGAGACCGGCTGTATAGCCACTAAGCGGTTTTGTGCTTAGCTTAATTATCTGGCCATTGGCCGCATGTCACTTGGACGTTGAATTTGCTACTAAGTTTCAAACTTAGTTTATTATCCGGCCATTGGCCTCACGTCACTTGGACGTTAATTTAGCTACTAAGTTTCAAACTTAGTTTATTATCCGGCCATTGGCCTCACGTCACTTGAACGTTAATTTAGCTACTAAGTTTCAAACTTAGTTTATTATTCGACCATTGACCTCACGTCACTTGGACGTTAATTTAGCTACTAAGTTTCAAACTTAGTTTATTATTGGAGTTTGGACGATCCGTCAGATTATATTGAAATTCAGTCAATGAATCAATAATAACAATTATAATAATAACAATAATAATGAAGGCTATTATTACTATCTTAATGCGTTAATATTATTGGAGGGAATAAAATCGTATCATTACCTCCAATGTTCAAACGCTTGGTGTGGCTTTGAATTGCTTTGAAAGCTTAAGAATCGGAGCCGGAGATATCGCAGGCTCCTTATTGTAGTACCATGCGGCATTTGTCATTTCATGCCGCTTGAACAATACAGCCATGGCAGCCGGCTTAATCGAGGCAAGAAAGAGCCACACAACCGGACTTAATCAAGGCAGGCAGCAGCCCCTCACCCGGGCTTCATTGATGAACAATGATCAAGTGCCGTCTGTCGCTTTTATAGTTACTTATACATGCGGCAAAGCTTCAACACATATACAGGCGGATCTCGTAAATTATTGAGAATGCCGCTTGTAGGTGGAAGATGAAAAAATAATGCTAGCTTGTACATGTGGCTTTCCCATCATCCATACCAACTTCTCTGTTGCGAAAGGAAGATGAATAAAATAATAGACAAACTTGTTCCACTAGTTAATGAAATAGTAGTAGACTAAGCCTTTTCTGAATTAATGAACAAGCTAGCTGTCAAAAGCAACCGCTTGACTTTATCAATTATGCAAAGCATTTTATTGATAATTTTGATGACCGCCTAATATAATTGTAGGTTCATGTAACCAAATAGGCTTGAGCAATGATGAACATAGCAGCCACGCAGCCGGTTTTAATGAAGAACAAAACATCCCACGGCTGGGAATATTTGACGAGCAATTAAGCCTTGGCAACCGGGGTAAATTGGCGAAGAGAGCTGCACCTACAACCGGATTTAATTTGATGGAGAAAGCTTCCCTTTGCTTGATTCACGAGAATGAGCTCTTCAAATGATGACAAGCGGGTATGAGATCTCCAAAAAGCTTTCAGCTCGAGAAATGGGTTTGCTCTGATCACACATGCGGCTTTCTATGCCGTCCGACCCTTGCTTAGGTAGGCTGCCGCTTGAGCAAGCTTACAATCGAGCTCTTGCTAGCTCACTTTACAGCCGGCTTTGAGGATGAACAAAGCAGCCCCATGCGGCCCTCCAATGAAGATTGTCCGCCTCTCGTACCATAACAAACTCATGCAAATAATTAGGCTTGGCAATGATGAGTATAACAGCCATTGCAAAGAACTTAATTGAAGAACAAAGCCCCTTCAGCCGCCTGACATTTCAAGCCGTTTGAGTGATTGTATACCGAATAACCGAGCTCAGGAAATGAATTTGCTTACTGATTACACAGATAGCTATTTTTGTTGTTTGTACAAGAGCTCAGCTCCTGCATTAGGATGAGTATGTCTGTTATGGCACGCGGATATTCCCACAAGGTGACTTAGCTTACTCATCTCGTGCCGGTTGACCCCTTTGATGATATATTCATTCAAATATAATTCTTGGTGTTCGATCAACATGGAGGAGCCTTAGCTTAATCATAAGATAGCGCTTGCATGGGCTTTGATGCCGCATGACTGGTGTCATAGCAGCTTGAGGCCAAGAACTCAAGTTTTCTAATAACTTTTTTTTTTTTTTTTTTTTTTTTTTTTTGTAATCATAATAATGATTGTTTTTTGCATAAATCAATCATAATCATAATAATGAATATTATGATTAATAATGATGATGTTGATCAGACCAGCCGGAGGTATCAATGAACAAGGCAGCCCTTCATCAAGCTCAATGAGCCAAGGATACCTTCGGACTTAATGAAGAACGAGGCAGCCCCTACGGCTGTGGTTGAGAATGAACTAAGCAGCCCACAGCCGGGCCTAATAGAGGCACAAAGCAGCCGTGCAGGCTAGCTTAGTTGGTGAGTAAGGCTGCCCTTACAGCCGGGATAAATTGAAGCGTAATGCAGCCATGGCAGCCGTTTTATCGATGAACCGTTCATGGCTCTGACCGGCAGCCACCGTTGTGAGCAATCACCGGCTAACAACATTGGAGCAAAACTGACCCATGCCACCTGCATTTGGCTGCCGCCTGAACTTACTTTCAATCGGGCTCTTACTATCAAGCGCAACCCGGCTGACACCATTGAGGCATTGATAATGGTAACCGGCTGTTATGATACGAGTCGGCATATTCGCCGCTTGTATCTTATGCTTATAAGAGAGTTGTTGGATGACAATAGGTACCAAGCAACCCCGGCTCACGCACATGAACCAACCGACTTGACATTGGAGCCGCTTGAGTACGG